CAAGAGTTGGCACGAAAATGATTCCTTACTGCTCAATGTCCCTGGGTGCCTGGTAAAGGTATAAATTTTAAGAGTTTCACTGTTATATGGTGACGTCTGCATATGAGCGAAAAAAAATGAATGAGACTTAAAACAAAATACAATCAATCAAACAATCATTGCATAAAGTGATACTTTACTTCATTTTACAGAAATATAAGGTGTCAGCATATACCTCTCTACCTCTTATATATATTACTAAATATAAGTTTGCAATATAGTGTTGAAATACTGAGACATAGAGCCTTAGATATCGCCATACATTTTGGCAGAGATTTCTTTGAATCTAAGCTCACTAAATGCACCAGTAAAAGAGAATTTTCTGTTGGAAGATATGTTTTAGTTCTTTAAATGTAAATAGTCTGTCTTCATTATATACTGCATGCACATACAGGACAGAAATATTTGCCAGTATCTGACATTAACTTTAATATATGCAAACCTTTACTTGATTGTGATTTATCCTACTTAGATGTAAATATCTTCTCAATTCCCATTTTAGAAATACCAAAAACTCATTAAAATTGAAAAATTTCAAGAAACTGTTGGACAAACAGAGACAGACAAAAACTTGTAATAGATCAAATTGTAATCTTTAAATAGGCCACATTCTCAAGACGAATGTCGGATATCGCAATCTTCTTACAAGGGTCTTATAGGCTATATTTCAAACTAAAAATGTGTGGTTGAATTTCTCCCATATTGCATATAAAAAGAGATTTTATATCTTAGAACAAAATATCAAAGTTAAAAAAATGAATTTGTGGAAAATTTGTGTATTACTCTAATCATTTTTTTTCTTTTTCCCTTGATATCTTGGTTGAAAACTTTGTAACTACATGTTTCAAAATTGCCTTAAATTTTGCCTTTAAAGCACATATGCGAAAGAAGCAGCAATGTTAAGGCTTCCCGAAGCTTTAAATGTGTTCAAAAAATAACACTGCATTGCAAGGTCGATTTTTATTTTTATTTGTAAGTTATGTACTTAAAGCTGACATGAATTCTTAAAAACGCAACATTTGCATCAATGTACGACTTGTTTCATACCAACTATTCCGCCATATTTCTTTCAGATACCTTGTCTTATTATAACGATATATACCCCAGTGCCCTCGTTACACTTGAGTGAATTTTTGGTTTGGCTATCGACGCGTGCACATCTCCGGTAGTAAAGTATTTGGGAACAAATGAATTGATGAAAACATTTTAAACCAGAACAGATAAAAACAGTCATAATGATAATTATGAACAATTATCGTTTTGAATAACATAAATGCAAGTTTGGAAGAAAAAACATAGTTGCGCGTGTGTTTTAAAAGCATACCAATATATAACAGTCATTTTACTGCCCCCGCTCCCTCTCGCATACACACATTTTGAGAAACAGTGCTACGTGCCTGTTTTATATGCATGTATAGAAAGTCTTTCCAGATTGGAGAGTTTCCGCAGGTAGTCTAAAATTTGGTACCTATTCAATTTCTTGTATTTTGAGAAAATCTTAAAAGATAGTTTAAGGATTACTTAAAACCTAAACCGCAAGACTATGGATAAATATTTTGTGCATTTTTAATACAAGTTTACTCTCTCTCTCTCTCTCTCTCTCTCTCTCTCTCTCTCTCTCATGTTTAAGCATCCAAACATGTAAGAGTAATAATGCATATAAAATCCGATGTTGTAAAAATCTTGGGAAATGATATAGTCTCTATAAGGGCAGATCGAGGAATTTATCTGGACCAGGGGCAGGGTGGATCAAACCTGCTGAAAAAATTGTCTCCTTTTTTGACAAGCCAAAAAGAAAGGAAAAGAAGAAAAAAAAAAAAACCCTGCACACCCAAACGAAGAGGGAACAAAATTATTGTGAAAACTATATTTCACGGGAATGGAAACATGTGGACCCTTCTCTTGTACTTTCCAGAGGAAACAAATTCAGTTTTTTGTTTCTTTATACCTCCGAAGAGCACAGAGGGTTCCTACCAGAAATTTTTTGACAAGAAAAAAAAAACCAATATCAAAATAAAAAGAAACTTGTGTGTGTGTGGGGGGGGGGGGGGGGGCACTGTCAGGAGCACATTGTTTTCCTTTCCTATAAACTTTGACTATTAATTATATAATATTTTAAAAAATAATACACATGCACGCAACCATATTTTAATCATTCAGTCACATCACAAAAATTCTTTAAATATCTAAAACGTGTAAATATGTGTAGTTGTTAAAAAAAAATATGTAATGTAATAATAGTACTTTTGCATCGCCTCGTGATATCTTTGGCAATGCGCGCGAGGATTGTTGAATCACACCACTTCACATTTGGGTACACGGTAGAACTATTTCAATTATCAATATTACTTTCACATATACTAATAGTGTAATACTTATCAACTTCAATAGATACAAAAACATGTACTGTAGATTATTTTATATACACATGATTATGTCTGTGCTTGTTGGTAATTGTATCAATCGTGCTTGTAATTTGTGACGCCTAAAAGGGTCCTGATTCGAAAATGTCTACAGAAACAAATTGTTCAGTGTGTGTAAATTTAAGATATGTCAGTTTTATATCTAAAATAGTTGAGGCCAGTTCATTGCAAGTATTTAAATATATTTGATCAAGGAAAATCCGACCTTTTTCCGACGTTTGTTTAAAATATATTGAAAAATGTATTCTACATATTCCACCCCGGCCCCTTTCATTTTCTTTAAAAGATGTAAGATCCGTAACAAGAATGTATGTTTATATAATAAATTTGATGTAATGAAGCCACATTCATGAACATATTTACTACATGTACCGACAACAGTTAGTTCGATTTCTGAAACGTTTTATTTGCGTGACTATATTGTCTAATCAGGCAAATACCAGTGTCATTTCCACCTACGATATTTTCCCTGACCAAAAATGCTGATCGGCAGGGACCACGTGTGTTCAAGTGCTAGTGACAATTTGTTTACCGTTGAGTTACAAATGGAGTTATTTCTTCTGTGATGCATATTTCAATAAAGGAAAATAGGAAGTAATTCTTTCGACATGTGCACGTCCCTGTAGCGATAGCTGTATTTCAGGCAGATGAATATAAAGCGTTCGACGCGTTTTCTCGGCATGCATGCATGCATGTCTTACTTCAATGCGTAAGTTGCATAGTATGTGCTTATACCGTGTAGCATGCATAAAGCTCAACAGTACAGTGATTTTTTTTGGAGAAAAATGCATGTGGTAGCTTCTTTATTGTTCAAATATTAATGTAATGTATATCAAACACGCATTTGCCGTTTTGATTTTTATGCATTGCATCAAAATTATTCAAAATTTATATACTCCTTTCCATTTTCAGTAAAATTCCTAGTTTTGGTAGGATTGTTAGATTTATTGCATGTTCCAAAACTGCTTTATCTGAAATGTGTACAGGCCTACATGTTTACTGTCAGTTCATGACGTGTTCCAAAACTTTGCTATCGGAGATGTGCACATGCCGACAGCCAGGCTAGAAAATCACTCAAGTGTAAAAAAGACATCAGGGTTTATATAGCCGGTAAAATAAGTGAACGAATCTGAAAGAAATAAGGCGGAAAAGGGAGTACGGGAATGAAATAAGTCGTACAAGGATGAAAATATCACATTTTTAAGAGTTCATGTCAGCTTTAAGTAATGCCAATTTATATAGAGAGTTCTCTAGGCTATATATAAACGTATTTGTTACGATATCACATGACCTCGTTGATCAAGTGACGGTCATTTCTACATTTTTGAAGTGTTTCACATAAATCGCTGCGGAGCAGGTGATTAACACAATTATTATTAACTTTTTGTCACATAAATAAACTCGTCGCATCCTTGCGAACCCGATTTGTGCTTGGGAAAAGTTATACTATTACTCTGGTACAAAATATTTCACAATAAATTCAACTTACCGACAAATTTGAGGGTATTTTCCACTCAATATCGTCATCTGTCTTAAAACAAAGCCATCACACATTTTTCCCAAGCAAGATTTATTTAGGGTGGAAACTCCTCTTACAGATTTCCACAAAAGATATCAAATAAATCCTCATTAATCACCTGCGCCTGGCTCTTTTATACACATATTATAAATTCTACCTCTATCCAAGGGTTTAAAAAAGGGTAAATGTCAAACGCATATTTTCGTATATATTTTGAACACGCTGACTTTTAAACAAGAGTAATAAAGCCAAGTTATCTAAAATATTCGGAGATATAAGATTTTTAAAAAAGATTAAAACACGTTTATTTTACACTACCTTCCTGACACTTTATTTGCAGATTGAAATAAGGTGTAAAGTTTATGACACTCTCCCCATCATAACAGCTCAAGTTTGCAGTGACTTGACGTCATTTTCAATTATGAGGTCATATATTTGTAGTTCAGAGAAGTGAAAGCACAGAGTACACTGCAATATTCTCTGGGAAGCCTTAACGTATCTGCGAAGCATATTTTTTTTCTATATCAATGTAACAGAGTTAAAAGTGGCTATGTGTTGTAAATAGGGAGGCCACGCTCCTACTAGCACTAGCGTTGGATTTTAAATCTGAGGGTTGTAGGTTCGAGCCACAGTGTGGACACCCCTAGCTAATCGGCATATTGACGCCCAACGTGGGGCCCGGGTGTTTTCTGGCGGGTGAAAGAGATTGCCTCCAGAACTTCGCCCCAAAGGCGTCGGCACTCCAAAAGAGATGAGGACATCTCATTCTCTGGAGGGGGACAATGTGGTAGTGTCAGAGACACGGCTACCTACTAGCTTGGGCTATTGGGTTAACCCTTTAGCTCAATCGGTAGAACACTGGACTGGCAAGCCAAAGTTCCCGGGTTAAATCCCCAGCAGAGGCACAAAATGTCTCTGTTACTTCAACATTTCAATCTTACAGGCTATTTCACTTTTAGATTGTATTAGGTAACACTTTTTCGTGAAATTGATTAATCGCAATGAGCGTGTATAGGAAACACGTTAAGATATTTGATTTATTCAGCAATAGGAACATGTAGAAATAAAATAAAACATAATAATATTGTTTACAAAGCCATTTACGCCTGACAGCAACAGAAGTTTGGACCACATCCTGTCGAACCACAGCCATTTCCATATCTGTACATCGCAAACTGCGCTGATCCTGTTTGTTCCGGGGTTAAGGGAGAGTACTTGTAGTAAAAATGAAATGTTTGAAAACAGCTCCCCCTATTCAAAAAGAAAAATAAGTTTTAAAAACTAAAATGCATATATTCTTTTGCAATTGCACATCCGAACACGAAGCATTGAAGAAGTAGTCCAAATATGCCAACGTTCAGAAACATCTTATTGATCATCAAAAACTCAAATATAATATTTAAGATGTGCTTGAGGAAACATTCTACGTAATTGTACAATAAAATAAATGGTCCCCGGCAAAAATATTCTCAAGTAAACGAAGGTCGCAAAATAAGAATAATTCTCGTAGGCGATTAAAGGTTGGTTTACAGTATTCTATGAACGTTTAAGACACCTTTAAAAGAGCAGATTGTAGATTTTATTTGACATCTACTGACTGAACAATTTTTTTAATTTTTATTACACAATTGTGATGCTACTGCTTGGGTCTCCAGAGTTTCAATTCATTAGAACAAAGTGAAAATATAGGCATTTCAATATTGTATTGAATGTATTGCTATTTGATTTTGACAACTGAAGTGTTACATTGATTCAAAATCATGACATGTTTACCTCATGTATCGGCATACTAAATATTGACATAATTTTATGAAAAAACAGACATAAAACCTTGCCTAAACTAATACATATATCTGCTCCCACTGAAAGACACATAAAAATAGCCATTGAGTCAAATTATATTATGAGTTATCTAGATTAAACATCTTCCACGAAAAAGGCTCAAAGAATAAAACCTACGTGGCTGATCCTTGATTTCCATAGATAGCTCTCATACTGCTGATAGCATTTTGACAAATGGTGTTACATGATGGTCCTGTGCCACATGGTTTCCGAATAGCAGATACAAAATGACTATTGGTTGCACTTGCAGCGCATGCAGCTTGAACAATAGCATCAGCATCGAACCCTAAATACATGTATATGAAAACAAATTAACCATCCACACAGTTCCGGGAAGGCTTTGAAGAAAAATCTCTGATAATAACAATGGGGTCTTTTTTTTTTTTTTTTTTTTTCTTTTTTTTTTTACATTTATTATCAATTTTTTCCTGTATGTGAATCAATCATATTGAATGAACAAATATTTTTTATATTTATTTTTTTATATTTGGAGAATTTCTCCACTTTCCGGCATTAGTCAATCAACTACCATTCACTCCCTAAGTCTAGACACATTTTTTATTCAACCCGTATATTTTATCCACCTCCCAACCCTTCATAGGCGTCTCCATAGGCCAATAAACTTTCTGCCATCCAACAAAAAATTCCAAACAAGCGAGTTTATTGGTCAGGTTGATGTAAAATGTGTCTATAATTTGGGAGTGAAAGGAAACTGATTGACCAATGCTGGAAAGTGGAGAAATTCTCCCCAACAGTATGCAGAAAAATCTTGCGCCGTAAATTGCACCTTATTTGCATTTCGGGATCTGTAGCGTTATGGTCAAAGACTAAATATATAAAACCATAACACTACTGTTCTGCAGCTTAGTTATTTGATATCCTGAATTTTTTAAGATGTGAAACTTTCTTATATGAATGAAAGTAAGAATCCTTAACAAAAATGTATTACTTATAATCAATTCTATAATTCTTTTAATACTGATAAGAAAATGTCTGTTTCATATATAACTGAACAAGGTATAATTCAAATTCTCTAATAACTTTTGATCTCACAGTAAAGGTTTCTTCCCTAGTTAATCGATATATATTCTCGCCCTAACAGGATGCTATTAGACTAATAGAAAAAAACAGCTACTAACCTTTAGTTGCTGCAACTAAAATACTGAAGATGAATACCAGAATCATGATTACAGACGCCAAGCTATTCTTTGCTTTCCTTTGAAGGTTAACTTATATATAGTCAGGACTTGTATTTATTTAATTACTCTGTTATTTAATCAGGCTGAGAACATGTGGCATAATAACAGTGATATAAATACGTTTAATATCCGTTAAAGATGCACCTGTTTCAAGAATAATGTTATGCTGTTTGGCAACGCACTTTGAAAAAAAATTCGAAGCACGTTAAATTTGGGATAAAATCAACTCACTTTGAAGTTTTTTTTTCTTCAAAGTGCGTTAAGAGTGTATAGCAACATTTTTTACCATGGAGACACTTAGCGCACTTTGAAAAAATATGTATAAAACAAAAATTCTGGAGTTAGATTTTAGTAATAGACAGCATTATTTTGTTATATTTCTTTTGAAAAACTGATGAATTTATCTATCGAGATAGATTATCGAGAAGACAGGCAGAAGGTCCCTCAGCCAACTCTTTATCTTTCCTAATTAAATATATGTATTCACATACTTTCTCTCAATAAATTTGAGTTAACGTTAAATAGCTGAAAAATTGAGATAAGCTTTCCTGAAAAAAAGAACCCTATTATATTAAAGAAGAGAGGCTCAGGGACCATATCGCTGATCTAAGAAACAATAGTCAACTGACTATACTCTGGCCAAAGTAGCTTTACAAATCAAATAAAATACAAATAAGAAAAAAAGAGTATAAAATGCATAATTATTTTTATACACCTTAATACTAATCAAATGACTGTAGGAAAGGCCATCATATTGTGTGGGAAAAAACAATTTGATTTTATTCATACCTCTAAATATTCATCAAATAACTATTAAAAGAACGTCATATTGTGCGGGAAAATTATTTTCCATGGAAAATTCTTTCCCCTAAGAAAAGTGCGATGCTTTAATTCACTTAGTGACCCTTACATCTACCGAACTTATTACAGACTGGATAAAATAAAAAAAAAAGGAAATTGTGCTATTAAACAATCGTTCCTCCTTAATTTATTTATAAAATTTATTTCCCTTTTATAACATTTACGAGAACCTTTGGGAACAGGACAACCCCTAAAAATGTTTAAAACGTCTATATCTCAGATCGTGAAGTGACGTCATCACCGAAAAGGTATCCTACCAGGTTCCAGTAATTATTTATCATACCTAAAATTTGCGACAATATTGAACAAACCGTGCACTGTTTTTCAAAGTTCTGTTTATATGGTCAATAATAACGCACTTTGAAAAGGATTTTTTTTTCAAAGTGCGTTAACCTGGCTTGCAATATCCTTTATCACAGAACCGAGCCTGTATTCTGGTGTCGAAGAATTCAAATATGGACTTTCCTTGACTTTTACAAATTAGACTTTTCAGAACTTTCAAAGGGACAGAGTAAAGTTGCGAATGTGATGAAGGCCTAACTGTTTATTTACATAAGGTAGTAGTGAATCAAAGGAGATATCGTGTATAATAGGTTTATTATAAGACCGATGTCCATGACTACCCTTACTGTTACTGTACTGTTAAAAAGTCCCATAACATTCACAATGCTACACTGTCGGCTTGAAAGATTCCCAACACTATCGACATTGTCATTGCTACCATATGGAAAGGCCGTGCCTAGTTTTCTAATCCAGTATTCTTCCCGTTGCGTTGTCTACGGAAAGGAACTCAGTGATGGGCTATTAGTATGATGGTAAATCTTTTCTAGAACTCTAATTTTCATTGACGAAATAGAATGAGCGGGCAAATTAAAATGCTTGATTAGAAGCTGATGGCCCCCGTTGTTAATTTGAAATCTATGCTCAGATATTCTTTTATTAAGTGAACTCTTAGTGTCACCAACATAAATAAGCCCTCAAAGGGTAAAATCTATTTCGTAGACAACATTAGAAGATTTGCAGTTTAGATTTTTCCCAAGTTTTGGTATAGAAGCTCTGTCCAGTAAGAATACTAGTAAACGAAGACCTAGTATTAAAAAAAATGACAGGTTTTACAGTTTTTGATAGAACATTTTGAAATAGAAGACATGGGATCGGAAAAGGAATCGTCAAATATATCTCTACTGGAAACTTTTCATTCCTTCAATTTTTTATGAATTGATGGGTCTATACCAAACGAAAAATCTTTAAAAATCTTTTTCTCAAGAACAGCAATGCTTTGATTAGTCATATTTATATGGAAGCATCCTCAGGTAGAGTAGAATCAGGTTTGTTCAAGTAATGTCCCCCCGGGGGTTGAGGGCTACAATGGGCGATCAAATTTTTACATGGGAATATATAGGGAAAATCTTTAAAAATCTTCTCAAGAACAGCAAAGCCATGATTTCTCATATTTATATGGAAGCATCCGTATGTAGTGTAGATTCAATTATTACGTTTGTTCAAATGATGACCTCCAAGGGTATTGTTGGGCAACCATAGGCGATCAAAGTTTTAAATGGAATACATAGGAAAAATATTTTTCTCAAACACAGCAAAGCCACGAATTGTCATATTCATATGGAAACGTCCTCAGGTAGTGAAAATTCCTGTTTGTTTAATGGTAATCCCCGGGGGTAGATCGAATGTATGCTGTTTTTACGTCCCGTTCGAGAATTTTTCAGTCATGTAGGGACGTCACGATATACCGGTGAAGGGCTTCAAAAATTAGACCTTTACTCGGCACTCAGGGCCATTGAGCTGTGAGGGTTCTTTATCATCCCAACGCCTACCGTGACACGGGGCCTCGGTTATTAAGGTCTCATCCCAATGACCCGCAACTTTCACTTCAAAGTGCCAAGCGCTTCGCGAAGGAACAGTTGCTACCTATTTGAAGAATTATGAAATTTCTTCATCTGATACATGATAAATTCCTGTAACAATTAAAAGAATTATATGTTAAGAGATAGAAATATCTCAATTTTAACAGTATATTAATGGAACTGAGCAAAAATGTTTTAAGGTAAACTATTATAAGTAATTGATAAAAATATTGACAAAAGAAAATAAAAATCAATATCTGTAACAGTTAAAATTTGATTAAATTGACTATAAAGTGGTCCTTATTATTGAACTCTGGTAGGACAATTCATTGATGTAATTTCCATGGAAAGTTATCTTTCTTATCAAAGGCACATAACACATTAAAAGACTAGTAGTTCTCACGTATGGACACATGCTAACAAGCAAATAGTTGGATGCAAATCTTATAGGGTATTTGGATCCATGGACTGCCCGGGTATGTTAAGGCTACATTCAGATACCCTACATGCCTATACAATATGACGTCATAGTAAGCTGTATGACGTGAACTTTAGAGATTATAATTTCTTCATATCTGTATTTAAAGTATAATTTCAGGTCCAAGAAGTTATTGAATTCATTGAAAAACATAATATAAACTAAATCTTGTCGTTTTGGGTGGTATTAATAGCTAAGTATTTATCGCAGGGGTTAAATACATGTACAAAACCCATGACGTCATAACTATTGATCAAATATTTACCGAGTGAAACTTAACGTGACGAGAATTCATGTAAACAAATATATGAAATGGGAGTTTTAAAGCATATACAGTGAATGTCATGTGTAATTCATAAGGAATTAAAGATTAAGAATCAGGTACGCTAATTTATTTTTATCATGTTTTTTTTTTTAAAATGAACACAGGCAGTGTTTTGAAATCCCGATCAGCCTGTCCTCTGTCGTTCTATAAAAATAAAAATGCAAAAGTTCAACACTACGCCGCATACTTTGAAATATAGTTTTTGTTTGTATTGAAAGCTTGTATTCTATAATACTTGTAAAGTGCTGCTAGAATCGTGTGGTTAACATGAATTGATGACAATTCATAGATCGTATGTACAAAATGTAAAAATTTTGGTAAGATTTCATGCGAAACTTTTAAATATTTTTTTCTGTGTCGGGAGAGTTGGATTCTAGCAGCACATTTCATGATCCAGTGATGTTTTTAGATAATTTTTTTCACAAAAAGGAAATGAATAATCCCCGGGGTAGTGTTGAACTTTTCACTTTTTCGTTAAGGCAGTTTTTCTATTTATAGATGTCACGTGATGACGTCGTAGTGGAGTGCTTCTTTTAGCCTAGGACTCAATGACCTCTATACAATGGATACTAATAGTAAATGTTTTATCAGTGGCTTTTCCGATTTATCAACTTTGAATTTTACGGAAAAAAGTCTAAATTCGCCGAAAAATGATCTGGGTACTGCCTTAACTTACCTGCGTGGTATATAATTTTTGATATATATATATATATATATATATATATATATATATATATATATATATATATATATATAGAGAGAGAGAGAGAGAGAGAGAGAGAGAGAGAGAGAGAGAGAGAGATCTACCTACCTATACTGGATTCGTAAACTTCGTAAAATACTTACAACAAATCAAGCAAATGCTCCAACAAGCCCTATCTTTATGTCTTACAAATATAATAACTGTTGTAAAGGAGAAACATAAGATGTGCTGTGCTGTAGCATAGTCTAGAAGTAGTGTAAATCAGATATAGATTCTCAAAAAGTCCCAGAAACGTTTAGAAAATTCAAAATCACCATTGTTTTAAAGCCAAAAGCCTCAAAACGTACGAATATTCTATATTTTATACAACCATTCCTCCCGATATATAATAAACTAGGCCTTTTGATATCATACATATCTGCTTCTTCAATAAAAATGGAACTCATAATTTTCGTATCCTATTTTGTTCATCAACAAAATTACTTTTCCAAAAAACCAAAGTACTCTAAGGTTGATGCTGGAGTTCTTCATTGACAATATTTATGTAGTCTTCGGAGACCAGACCTTCCATTAAAGTGTTGGAATACCTAGGGACCTATATACTAACGGAATAGGCAACTCCTTCAGCGCCATGTTTATTTACCCAAAACGGCACACACAACACTGCAAGTTTTTCAAACTACGTTTTTTCCAAGTAAAAAGCTTGTTTACTGATTAATGTTATCTGTTCCTTTTGTGTATTGGAATGGATATTTAATAAATTTTAAAGCACATATTATAAAATAATT